CCCAGACCCTGCCCTGCTGATGCCTCAGGCTCTTTGAAGTCTGACCATCATACCTGGCAAAGTAGCAGTGGGAACCAGGGTGGTGTCAGATCTAATCAAGTTGTCCTCTGCAGCAGAGCTAACCATGGGGTTCACTAATTGGCCCAATTGCGGATTATACCTTTTGCTACAGATTCAAGACAATAATTTAGTTAAATGATGTTTTTTTTCCCCTTATCTCTTCTAATTAAGATTCCAAAGTGGGAAGAAATAGGATTAGACAAAACTGTGTTCCCCTTAAGGTGGTATGCACTTTTGACAGGCTCACTATGACATGTGAAATATATAGAACATAGTATTAAATCAACTTCTGGAGATTCTGTGAAACATATACGACCCTACTGCATGTCTATATCACTTGGGAATTAAAGTGTGAATATGGGGATGGTAATATAATGAATACATTAAAATGTAAACACGTAGAAAATGACATTTCCATTGGTAAGGAATGCTAATGTGGGTTTACTTTTGACAAGTGACTTCATCTATTTGAATAGATGCCTATGTTCCACTTTGGTTTTCTTTTGCTAACTGCAGTCTATCTGGGAATTGAAATACCAACCAATACTTGTGGAAGGGATCATTATCAGAAAAGGTATATTGGACTATATGGTCCATCATCCTACAACTTAATAATGCTCCTGAGCCAGACATTTATATTTCTGTTATTTTATTTTAGTTTCATAATTGTGAACTGACAAATAAGTTGACATCCCTCCCCTCTACCTCTAGATATAGTAAATATATAGTCCCCTTTCTACTTCCCATTTAAAATCTGGAAAGGCTGTTGAAAACATATGGAGGGAGGGACATAAGGAGACCCTGAACCAGAGCCACCAGGCAGTGCTTGAGATAGTCCAACATGTCAGAGGGACTGACAGCCTTGTAGTTTGCAAGAGTCTATGTTTTTCCAATATGTAAAAATTTCATATCATTCTACTGGATTACATCAAGTATACTGCAGTATTATATAAAGCTAATTTATACTAATGGCTATACCATTCTGGTCTTAATACTTAAGAATGAATCTTCTAAGTGCATCAAACATAACAGTTACTTAATAAATACTGGTTTATCAATTATTCTGTGAGAAAAAGTTCTTGGTGATTGGAGAGGTACTAGGTCCTGTATTGTGGATTACGGACAAAGTCTTACAAGACAACCTTGAGTAAACTTAATTTACTTTGATTTTCTGAACTCTCAATATTCATTCAGTGTGTAAGACCCACATTGATACACTATTTATAATAATTATTATTTTTTGACCAATTAAAGCCTACATAAGTATTGTTTATTCTTATACTGAAAATTTGCAGTGAATGGTGTATGTCTTTTGCATATTTCAGTGTAACCCAGCAACCATAATTTCTTACTTGGACTTAGAAACACTGAATCTTAGAGCTGGAAAACTGTCCCATTACCAAAGCAGAAACCCTGTTTATAATAACCTTAATAGAGGTTGCCACTAATGTAATAACATGTTATTATCATTTATATTAGAAAATTAGATTACTAGAATGTGTTAAGATATGATCAAGCTGAACAACACAAAATCAAAATAGCAAAGTAATATTAAATGCAAGTAAAAATGCTGCTGTTATGATGTCATGAAATTAAATGCAGCCACATTTCAAATTCCACCAAATCCTACTTGTTTATGTATTATAATTACATCATATTACTAATATAAAGAAAAAACTGGTCAGTGCTAATCCCAGCATTAGAGAAGCAAAAATTACAGAACCTAAAGAAAATATGTCTCAGTAATTATTTCAGCTTAGAAGTGAAGCTATGTACTCAAGTTACACATCCTACAGATGTGTACTGAACTTAACTGAGAAGGGAGTGTTTATAGGTCACTTGACCAATGGAGCTTATATAATATTGATAGCTGTATTATTTGGACCATTTTTAAAACTCCATGATTTATCTATATTACATATATTTCAGCAAAGATTTTATATCTACTAAGTGTATGACTCTGTTCTTAGTTGTAGATATAATAATAGACTCAATATACAGAAACTGTCTTTTTCATCCTTGTATCTATCCCAGAACTAATTAGCCCCTCTATAAAAACGAGAGCAGAATCATATCCACAGTAACGACACTAAAATCATGGTAAGCACCCTGGATAAGTAAAAGAGAAAGTTTAAGGTTGATTCAGTATGGCTTCAGGTTAAAAGAAATAGCTTTCCAATTCTTTGAAAAGGGATAATCCCTATAAACTATATCTGGTAACTCTCTAGCATATTTGATTAACCATAATATACTACTTACTCCTTGGCCTTATATTTATTATATTTTCTATATAAAGATTAAATATTTTATAACAAAAGGCCTTAAAAAGGGCAATGATTTAACAAATCAAAGAACAGGTACTCTAAAACTAGAGATGAGGGTGTTTGCCTGTGTCTTTTGCCACTTGTTTCCAACCATGCCACCTTTTAAGACCATGTGACAGACAGTAAATTGCAACATGTAACCAATCCACCTGCATGGAATCAGAAAAGTTATTTCTGCTTTACCTACTAAACCACCTTTCCCTTCTGAAAATAAGATGCACATTCAATGCCTGGTATATTATAGCCTCAGGCTTTATAGACTAGTATAGCAAACATTTTTTGTTTTTAAATATCAGGGCAGTTTAAAAAAATATTCATTTGTTGTGCATATTAAAACATTGTCACTTGATAGATAACTTTTCCCCCAATAAAGGAATCCTCTTGTTTCCAGTTTCTATAATATATCACCAAAGACTTGCTATCTGTTTGGATATGTATTTTATAATGTACAATGCTATATTTAAAGCATTTAATTCTGTGTAAACCACATGATTTCATCCTGTTATAATTACACCTATAGGTACTTCTATTAGGTTTGCACGGTTCTTTATATTTTTTTCTAATCACCAAATTGAATTTTATAGCATAAGTAAATAAGTTATTTAGAATGTTTCACCTATATTTTTATATATAAAAAAACTGTATTGATTATGTCATAAAGCCAAAAAGGTAAAGGATTTGATTGACTATTGAATATTAACTTCCTAAAAAACAACCATCTACTTGTATTTTGTTTTTAAATATTGCTTCCAAACCACAGGGTGACCAACTGAATGATTCTTAGTTTAGAATAGTGGGAAGAGAAGAGAGGAAACGGAACAGAGACCTGTGTGGTTAATGCAAGATCTTTCGTCTGCTCCAATGCTAACACGTAGTCACTGGTAGAACCTAAAGTTATTCAAAGGACAGGTTCCCCTTGACATTAGGTAAGTCCTTTATTTCTCCCCCCTCACCCCCAAAAGAAGACGTGTGTATGTGTGTGAGAGAGAAGGAACATGATTCACACTGCTGTGCTACTTTTTCCTCGGGGTGCAATATTTTCTTCACCAAGGAATCTCCCTGCTTACTTCGTATGGTGACGGACAGGACATCTTAGACCTGGCTGTCACAACACTCATCTTGGGAAAAAAGTGTCATGTGGAACAAAAAAACTTACATCTTTCATTAAAAATAAAAATGCAATTTAAAACAAAATGATGAGGCACGCTTTCCTTGTGACACTAACAACCATAACTTTATTCCTCTAAAAGTTTTAAACAATATCATGATAAATTTCTCAATATTCGGTCAGAAAAACTGAAACAATATTTGAACAATTACAGTGCTAGGTTCCATTTCAATGGTTTCTTTTGAGAACTAAAGCAAATTAGCTCAAGAATCAGTATTTCTATACCCTGGTTCTTGTGGCTTTAAGTGGCTTCTGAAGGGAGTACCCCAGAAGAGAAACTTCTCACACTCCTGCAGACACGACCTGCTTGAAGAACTGGCTGCCCGATTAACTATTAACTGCTCTCAATAGGATCAGATAATTAAGGACATTGATGACCATTAATTAGGAGGAGGGCACATTAATTTGTCACTGGATAGGACCCTTACAATGATTTATAGGTTAGTGCTACTTGCAAATGTGAAGGGAAAGAGAAAAAGAGAGAGAACCATTAAGTCACCTTATCAAGTGGCCAGCTCAAGAGGGCAGAGGGTCAAAAAAGGGCCAAAGTGGTCACTTAAGGGTGAAGTCCCAAACACCAAAGCAGTGCCAAGCCACATTGACCATCATTTGGTGATGAAGCTAAAAATATGCTAATTTATTGGTGGCAATTCTCTCTTTTTATGGTTTCAAGCAGTTAAGACAAGTGGCCTGCTTAAGAGCTTTTCATTTGAAAAGAGATTAAACAAAATGGTTTGTCAAGGCTGCTTGGCTGTTTTATGTCTTTGTTAAAAAAAATTGCACCGACTATACTGATAACTATCACACCACCCAAAAGCCATCTCTCTCTGAGCATTTATTTCCTTAATAAATACATCAACTCTAATTGCTTAATAGCGCTATGTTCATTTGCTCTTTAGCAAGATTAAGTTGAAATAAATCTTTTGTACTACTACTTTCTGTCCCTATTGCTTGCATAAAGGTCACAAAGAAAGTTTAAGTTTTATAGAAAATTTACGTAAAGACACTGGTGTAAATTATACTTTGTTTTACTCAGCATGAAAGCAGAAAGGTGATTTCACTAATAGTAAAGAAAACTGCTTTTAGAATGTAGATAAGGAACACAATTGTGGGTAGCATTCACATTCCACACACAAATAAGCACAGCTCATTAACAGTTAATTAAATATGCTTTTGAAAGCCTTGGAAATATGCATGTCATACTTATCACGTAAGTTTAGAGCTTACTTTTAATAGACATTTAAAACAAAATCATTTTTGCTATACTCTAATGATACACCATTAAAATAAAAAAGAATAGGACAGTCTAAAAAAATTATTTTGTTACATCAAATGAACTTAAAAATATTTAGCATGACATCTAAGAATTTCATAAACGTAAAAAATATATATATAAAGAGATACTATTTACCTCAAGACTATGAACTGACATATAAAAATTCTCTTACCTCAATGGTGAACAGCTTCCTTTTTAATTTGAAAGCTAAGTCTTTGACATCGGATACATCACCAATCAAGTTATTAAGTCGAGGAATCTGCCGTATATGAATCAAACCTTGCGGGAAGGAAATTAAAAGAAAAAAATAAAAACGGCTGTCTTGGATGCATAAATTAAAGAGTCTTACAGTAGAATCCTGTAAATTTACACACAAGCATCCTCCTCTTCTAAAACTAGAGCTTACTACCAGGAGCAATGAAGCAAATGGTGTGATTATACTCAAGTAATCAAGCAGAATAAGATAAACAGAAATCCTTGTGCGAGGAAATCTAATTGCACTTTGGTACAGAAGTACAGATGTAAAGAGGGATCTTAATACTTGTCAAAACTACAGCCGGTTTGTGTGCGATTTTCTCTTGTATTTACAGTAAGCAAATATGGCTATCACCTTGCAGGCTGCCCACGGCACCACTGAGTGATCTTTATTTTATTAAATGCACCAGTAAGCAGCCAGCAAAACAAGGCTTATGGGTTACTGATAACCAGTGAAGCACTAACGAAAATATTTCATTTTGTACCTTATTAATGACTTGAACAAACCATTGAAGAAAACTACATTTCAGAGCATACTCTAGGATCAAACATTAACCCCTATGCCATCCCAAGACAGTCCTTTCTGGGCATATTAGAGCTTTCTGTAGCTGTTATAAGCTTCGTGACAGTGCTAGGGAAGCCATGAGCTTGGGCCTCTTGTCAGCAGAAACACTGCTCATCCCTTCTGACAAGGGCACTGGATGGCTTTTGCGCAGCTTAATGCACTTTCTGACTAAACTCGGGGTCACCTGCCACAGATGAAGACATGGAAGATTCTTCAGTGCGTCTCTCTGCCTGACTCAGCCCATATTTAAAAATCACCACCCCAAAGACACTGATCCCTAAACATGGGGGGAAAAGGCAAACCCAGATTTGAACAAATTAGATAAATTTTATTTACAGAACTGCTTCTCTAGTATAGTTTCGTGTGTGTTTGAATGCTTCATAATGTATGTATTAGTTTTAGCTTAAAAGGGTAAACCTCCAGGTGGTTAACTTCAGAAACAGCTCCTTCAAAAATAATTCAACTAAAATAATCAGCTTATTTTTTTAAACTCAAAAAAATGCAAAAGGTGTTACGGAGATAGCTTTTAGATACAAATTAAAAATATCTCATACAGAGCTATTTAGTAAAATATATTAGTAAGTTCACCAGACTAATTTGCACATTTCTCATCTGAACCTTGCATGTGCTTGTTTAGCTAACTACTATATCAGGAGGCCTTACAGAATAAAGGAATGATTCATAAGGTCTTTCTTATGAATAGAAAGTTTACTTGTCATCAGAACCACCCATTCATCTATGGGGAATAATTTATTAAATCAGAGATTTCAGCACAAAAAATCATAGCCTTTCAACCTTTAAAATATTTTAATCAAAATAATATTTTTTTAAAATATAAAATATAATTTTACTAAATCTATAAGGTCATAATACTTATAAAGATACTCAGATATAACTTATGAAGGTAATATTTAACTTGAGTTGTTTAAAAAAAATGGAAATAATAATAAAGAAGTAATTTATCCAGTTATAAGATAAATAAGTCCTAGAGATGTGATGTACTGCAATGGGGACTAAGGTTAACGATAATGTATTGCATATTTGGAAGCTGCTAAGAGAGTAGATCTTAAAAGTTCTCATCACAAGAAAAAAAAACTGTAACTCTGTATGGTGATGGATGTTAACTAAACTTACTGTGGTGATCAATTCACAATATATACATCTATCAAAGCATTATGTTGTACTCCTTAAACTAATACAATGTTATATGTCAATAATAGCTCAATAAAAATTTTTAAAAAAGAAAAAAAGGAAATAGTTTAATTTTAATAGCTCTCTTACTAACATAGTGACAATAATAAAGTAAACGAATTGTATGTGTAGAGGGTTAATCTGAGCACATACCATACGCACACTCGCAAGTAAACGATCATGAGGCAAATTATTTTACGTAGCTTTTGTTCATAGCTGATATTTTCTAGCCTTTTAAAAACTACTTGATTGTTAGATTGTGGTATCTTATTTTTTTTAAAGGTTGTGTGCTGACTCTTCGAAGCACTGGTGATTATCATATAAAGGATCTTATAATCTTATTTTGTAGAATCTAGAAACTGCCACAGTCCTATAATCACAATTTTGTAGCAGGCTTCACATAAACTATCCAGTCTTTAGACTAGAAGTTTCCATAGAAGTATAGTATTCCACAATAATAACAGCAATAATTAATATTTTCTCAGCATAAGTAAACAGGTAAAACTTTATTATGCACTACACTCTATACTCAGTTTACAGCTAAGATACACATAACTACTAAACCTTTCCTGTTGCAATAGTTCTATGTAAGAACTTTTATAAAAAAATCCCCAAATTAACCAAGTGACTAAAATACTGTTAAAAACTTCAAAAAATATAAGTAAAAAGTCTGATTAATTTATCTGTGTTTATACTAGGGTGGCAATATTTTAAAATTTGTTCATAACAAACTAACAACAAAATAAGCAGAGAAAAGTCCAAATATAATCAAAGATGTTCACTTTTTGAAAATATGCTTGACTAGGACTTTTTAAATATAACACAGTATGAATTCTATTTATCATACAGCTAAGCCTTGGAAAGTATAAACCGCCAGACAAAGCTGTTATTATTAGAATTAATGATATTTATCTCAAACATGGCTAATAAGTATGGCTGCTTTCATGGCAACTTTAGGCCAGTGGGACGAGACAGACATCTGACTGCGCCTCAGTCCTGGGCTTGAGGCCTCAGACAGTTACCACAGGCTGTAGTCTTCATATAGTTTGGGGACAAGCTGCCAGGGAAGACTGGCCAGGAACGGACAACATTTAGCAGATGTATTACAAAATAAAATTCATGCCACTTGACGTAGATATTATGACTCGACAAGACGCTTCCAGGTACCCTAGGGGCAGCCCAGACATGCTCTTCTCATCATAAAGGAGCTGCTTACCATGATAATCCTTATATAATGGGTTGGTGTCTCTCTCAGAACCAATAAATGATTCCAGACCGACTACTGTATCTGACAAGTTTGTAAGACGAGCAATAATTGCTTTATTCTGTAAAACAAGGAAACAAAACACTCGTTATGTCTAAAAATATAACATCTATACAGTGCCATTGTGCCATCTCAATGACAAATCGTAGAGGAGACAGACTATCAACACAGAGAAATAATTTGAAAGTTAAAGCTACCACAGCCCGAAAACTGGATGAAAATATGCCCTTAACTGAAAATTCCTGCCCAAGTAGGTATGCTATTCTAATTTGAAGAGCTGAGGGAGTATACCTTAGTTTTGTGAGAAAACATAAGCTGATTACTTTTCTCTTGTCTTAAGGGGCAGGGCTATCTTTATCCCCATACACTATTATTTTTCAAACTACTTTACTACTGCTCATTGGAAAACCTGACAGTATCAGGATTGAGAAGCAGTAGATAGTACAGGCTACTGTGTAAGTCAAGGTCCTACCAGCATCTGTCAGTAGGGACCAGGTCCCAGCCCTACAACAGCTGAGGTCCTCTGTATCATATCAGAAATACGGAAGGGCCCAGCTAAGAGCTGCAGCATGGCTAGCTCTGGAGTCTTCTATTCTCTTTCCAGATGCTGCTGTTCAGCTCTGGGATCACAATGAAGGCAAAGCGAGGACAGCAAATGACTAGCACTAGACTAGTAGCCCACTTTTCCTTCCCGACACAACCCAACATGAACCAAAAATACCATTAAACAGTATATCATAAAAAATGTCAAATTTTAAGTAGCAAAAGTTCTAAAACACCCAGAATTTCATGCTATAAAAATATAATCATTAAAAATATGATCATTAAATATCCTGTAGGTTTTCTTAAATTATTTTATTTAATGGAAATTCGGTATTTCTTTTAGGCCCTGACAGGATGGTAGGTCAGTAAAATGTTTTATATGCTATAACATCTTAGAAAAAGTTGAAAAATTTGTTGTTCGTAAAATTTTATAATTTTGAAACTCCCATTTTATACACTGGTAATGTCTAACAGTTTAAAAATAATCTTCAAAAAAGGGATGGGAAATGTAAAACATTCAAGAAAATTTATCAGTCTGATATTATGTCCCCCGTTAGAGAAAAGTCCAAATATAACAAATATGTTCACCTTCAGAAAACTTGACTTGACGACTGAGCTTAGAGGTATTCCTCCGTTTCTTAAGTCCTCTTGTAAAGATTGCATACGAACGAAAAATAAGAGGGGTGGTGGATGTTACCTGGCTCAGTCTGAAATACACAGTAGCCTCTGTCACTAAGCATTTCATGAAGTGACGGGTTACCTCACACCTACGGTAGCATTTGAAACTCCTCCGTTAAGTAGAAATGTGTGTTATATAAAGAATGTTTCAGCCTTTGAGTCAGTGCTCTTAAAAGGAACCAGTAAAAATAATTATCCTTAATTGTCTTTACTACTTTCAATCACATGGGTACCAAGCATAGAAAAACAAACATAATTTGGAAATGCCTATTTTTTCTAAGGCAATTTTTCATTCAATGGTGAGAAAATAATCCAGATTGATTCCTTACTTTCAGTTCTATGCCACAGGGGATGGTCCTCCTCCAGGAATAACAGGGGCTTCAGAGGCCATCAGCATGTTCCTCGCAATAGTTCTTTAGCCAGAGACCATTATATCAAACTCATCCAGGTTGGGTTTCAGCCAGTTATTCTTCACCCAAACAAGAATGTCTGCCAGACATTCCGACAGCTGGGAGACAGTTCACAATGAGTCGACGTGAAAATGATTCATTGTGCTGAGTTCTGAACAATGTTGGGGTGGGGGTGGGGTGTGGCTGGGGTGGTGGCAGAGGGTGAGAACAAGCGGGAGATGAGGAAAACCACAAGGTTCTCCCACTTAGAAGCATCTTCAATAAGAACCCCAGCAGGGTCTTGTCATTCCATTTCAGGATAAACTCAACCGGGAAGAGCTCTCCCGTCATGGACCCTCAGATGAACCAGCATTTGTAAAGGCCACTGGCAATAAGTCTTAATCAAAAGGTCAGATTTCCTTTATCTATAACAGAAGATTAAGCCTTTGTATCTAAATGTCTGAATCTAAAATGATAAAAGTCAATTTTTGTTAGAATTCAACTATTCAGGATTTCAGTGATATAGGGGCTTTCTCAATTCTATGACTAACACAAACTGTATGGTTTAGGATGGGATTAGCCTGCATTCTAGCAGTATATAAGTAGGGTCCTGTGCATTTACATGGCCAACCTGACATCTGTTTACTTCAAGGAGGGTTTCTTTCCTTAATTTAACCTTAAAATTTACTAAAAAACCACTTAACACCCTGTTATGTTTGTCAACTTTATAGGTTTTTTTAAGGTAATCTGTGGGAGATTAAAAAAAAATCAATTATCCACTTTACAGAGGAAGACTAATAAATTCCAAATACAAAATATGTGTATAGCCTAGATTTAAAAATCTCAGAAATTCATTCATATATTTCATTTATTATATTTCTAAGTTCCACAGGTTTACATCATAGTTATTAACTACAAACTAAATTCTACTTTAAAAGCTTTCATGAAGTATTAGAACAAGAATAAACTTCTAATCATTACCATAAAATAAATTATATTTAATAGTGACCTTACTGCTTTCTGCACAGCAGTTTTGGAAAATAGTTTATGCAATGTGGCAAACTAGATTGTGAAAGTTGTATAGATATCTGAAAATACAGAATAAAAAGCACTGGAAATTATATAAGAATAATATCTAAGTTTCTGACTGATATAACTTTTATCTTAATTATAAACTCATTCAGTCTTCCAGTTATTTATAGGAGCATAAAAGACATTTGAGTATGTAAATGTATATATTTTTCAAAAAGTTAAGATAGTATTAGAGATTACCTCTATATCTCTAAGATTCACAGGGAATATGGTGTATTGATACAATCATATCTTAAAAACTACTTTTGTCAAAAGATCTTTCAAATCATAATATTAATACTAAATGGTCTTTTAGAAAAAGGTAGGTGAATTTACTTAAAGAATGTAAATTTAACAGCTTTAAAAAAACCTTAAAAGCAAAATAATCACAATTCACTTTAAGAGGAATACACTATGGACAATAAATTGTCATAAACTAACCCGCAGTGCACAGAAAGCTTTAGCATAATGATCTGAGCAGAGGCCTTGAAACTGGAGCTTCCACATTCTCATCTTCACAGATTCTAAGTGTTTTTATGTTATTAGCCAAGAATGTGAAACCTTCTTGGTCTCAGTATACGTAGTTGGAAATGGGGAAGTAAAGGTATTTGTGCATCAATTACCTAGACATAAATTTTGGACAATTTTTGGTTAATTTTGAAGTTGCTACATTATAGTTTCCAATAAGGAACATCTGAGTAAAGACATTCAGGATTCACCAGCAGGAGTAAATTAATGGTTATACGGCATGCCTGGCACAATGACATCACCCAAGTATGTACAACGATATGCCGCCCTCCTCCTTGCCCATCTGGATGTGAAAATCTAGGATGGCTCAAAAATCCTTCTTATACCAGACAACTCTCCCTTCACTCTGGGTGAAAGTTGTCAGCTCTGGATAGCAGCCAAGACATGACTAGGAGGGAAGCCAGAAGAGAAGAGAGCCAGTGTCCAGGAGTTTTAAGAGTTTGCTGGCAGTCTCAAACAGCACTGTATTAAGTTACATAAAGGGTTCTTAAAACTTTCTGTTGCAGTGTAATTTCTCAATGAATTATTTAAACTTAAATTATGTCAAATGCCGTTGCAAATAAAAAAGGCAAATCAGATTGTCCAGGCCTTCTTATTCCAATTTTAATCTCACAAAGACGCCTTGTTTTGATTATTCCTTGTTTGGTCTCAGAGAGTGTTTCCTGTTTGCTTTTATGGAAATGGTAGCCTCTTCTTCTTAGGATATACCAAATTCATTAGATGGACTGTCAATAAAGGAAGATTAAGGCTCCCTTCCAATTCAAAGCTCATAAAGCCAAAACTATGAACTTTGTTAAGAGAGAAAAATTCAACTCCTGCCATATAAGCTCCCTGCATTTTCTAATAAAAACACTTGAGATACCTATTTAGAGTAACCAAGCAACAATGAGAACACCTCAACTCTGAATGTTTCCTTACTTAATGGGCCTTATGATCTCAACAATACAAGATATGGTTTGTACCAACACGAAACATACTTCCAAGAAAGATTTAACAAGAGAATTCACAAGTAATTAACCAATCACTTAATTATCAAAAAGCTTGAAAGGAATACACCAACTGATATAAAGCATTTATGCAATGCCTCAAAGAAGAATCAGCTCTTGGGTTCATCAAATAAGAAAGACAGCAGACACATAATATGAAGGGCAGAGCTCCCGCCTGAGTATGGCACGGGACCGCAAGGGCACGAGAGCACTAATCAGCTAATGTTGAAGAGTCAAAGGGATACTTAAGTTACTTTATGTTTGACTCGACTACATGACAGGACGTGTGTTTGGGGGCAATGTCCACAAGAAAAGCAAGTGTGCTACTCAACAGCTTGGTATAATAACATTCTCTGGAAAACGATATGCATAGAAAAACAAACATACTAGAACTTATGACATTTCTTTGTCATGTAATAAAATAATAAACTTGGATAAATGGATAAATCTAGGGATATTTAATGAGCTATTTCTTTTTCCATGCTTATTAAGTTCTTCATTCTATAGAAATCGAGACTATGAAATAATAAAACTGTTAATACTGTTTGTAGTCTTTTACAAAACTTCCCCCACCTTCTCCAGAGCTATCACTCACTTCTGTGGATTATATTTTTATTTTATTAAAAAAAGTTTGATAGTGGGGGAAATAATTCTGTTCATAATTATTTTGAGTTTAAGAAAGAATACAATTTTATTTTATAAAATTATATTAATGAACATTTGTAATAATATTAATAATGACATTAATACTTTAATGAAGGTATTAGATTAAATCTTTCCAGATTTAACACTGAACTTTATTCAAAGTCATACACTGTTAATTTTAAAATATAGAGGAATTTTTGTAAATTAAAAAATTCTAACTG